AGTTCTTTATCTCTTCATTTGATGTTCTAGGGTTTCAGGATTGTTGATTCTCTGTTTGGCTTAGTTTTTCGGATCTTTGTTGTGGAGGGACGGCGTGGTGTTTCTGCCTAGAGCGCCATCTTGCCGGAAGTCCCCCAGTCATCATCTTTTTTGTGTGCTTCCTAATTATCCTGGGACTCTCCCTGATAACCAAACCCATTCCTGATGTACATGTGAATAAGGAGTAATGAATTAATGCTCATTTTTAAAGAAGGACTCTTTGCCTCCTAAAACTGCAACTAGTGTTCAAGTTTCAGGCCAATGGAATCATAGCACTAGAGAGCAGAACAGCTAAAAGGAACCTAAGAGAATAACATCCAGTCATGAAATCGACTGCAGTACACACCTAGTACGTGCAAGGCACCAGTGAATTTAAAAATAAGGTATTAGCAAACGGATTTTGTCCTCAAAAAAAAATTCACAGTGCAGATAGGAGGTCATTTATACCATTATACAGGATTCCAGGCAGATCATAATTAGTGTTCCCTGAGACACTGGGCAAGGCTTCACAGTAGAGCTGTCACCTGGGGTGGAGTTGTTTGGGGCAGTAGGATTTCACATACAGCATGAATACTGGCACAGAGGTTTAAAAAAAAAGCACACGGTACCAGTGAGCAGAAAAAACCAAAACAGAACAGTGACATGTACTTTTTTATTTAAGATAGGCAAAAAAAGTTTAATTTGTATAATTTTCAGTGTTGGCAAGGATGTGGGGAAATGCCCAAAAGTGTTGGTGAGTGTATGAATTTGTAGCATTTTTAAGACAGCAATTTGGCAGGATCTCTCTACTCTAAAATTCTCATACTCTATGAGTTAACAATGCTACTTCTAGGAGTCTATTATGTGGAAATTCTTATACAAGTAGGAATACATATATACACAAGAATTTTCTCTGTAGCTAAGTTTCTAATAGCAAACAAAGAAATGGAGATGTCCCCAATTTCCATCACTATAAAAATAGGTACGCAAATAATTTTACATTGACTATTTTGTAGCTACTCAAAAGCATGAGGGAGCTCTATTGCTGACTTTGAAAAATGCCCATAATATAGTTAGGTAGGAAAAAAAAAACCACTTGAAGAATAATATAATATGGTATAATACAGTAAAAGCTGAGAAAGCTGGAACCTATATAAGGCAGAAACCTGCCAGAGAAAGAAAACTCAAATATTTTCCACTAATAGAGAGCAATAAAAAAAGTGGTAAAATTGCACCCTGTCAAAGGCAGAAAACTTGGAAGACCCAGAAAATCAAAGCAGTCCCATCCAGTTCTGGCTCTCACAGGTTTCACTGTATCGTTTTTATATACGCGTAGGCATATGTACATGTTTGTCTAAGCACAGAAAAAAGTCTTAAGGCATACATACCTGGAAGTGTTGAGAAGAGGTATCTCTGGGTAAGGTACTATAGTAATCGGCATATGCTAAACATTTTAAAAATTTAATACTGCTTATACACTTATATTGTTTGAATTTCTGACTAACACGTATAACTTAC